TTTTTTGCCAAATAAATTGTAGAACAAGGATTTCAAGTTTTTCCAGCACAAAGGGCTGCAGAACAAACTTTAGGCTGGAAATCCTCATGCACCTTTGGCTAAAAGAATCAAGACTGGCATGTGTAATGTACTTCAGAAAATATCCAGAAGATGATTTTGCAGTGTTCCTCTCTGTGAAGGCTGAACAAGGCTAACGGAGTGCTACAGTTTTACTCTGGAATAAATTACTGTTGTTTGCTATGCAAATCTTATGATTGTAATTAGGCTAGGATTTCAACTGCTGTGTACACTGATCTTTGTTCCCTCTGCGCATGGGAGCTAATTCTAATGCTGCAAAACAGCACAGCAAATGCCAAGGTCTGCTCAGCCTCTGATCGTTTCTCACAGGCTGCATTTGCTCCAAGTGGACAACTGAAAAGAAATTATTTACTTCTGCCTTCACAGGGGACGTAATTGCACTGCAGGCATCTTGTGGGCCACTGAAACGCTCAGGTACTGTAAAGTCTCACTTGAAAACAGGGGTTGGAGAAAACGCAGGGAGGAGGTCCTGATAGACATCTAGTTTTTAGCAAACTGGTTTTAAGAAGCAAAGTTCTGCTGCTGGCTGGTTGAGGATCTGGTGGCATGTGTGAGCTATCAGGACAGTGATTGCAGTTCCTAGTATGGCTATGTATAGCTCCCGTTATCTGTGCAGCAGGGCTCTGTGTGACCGCAGCCCGTGGCTCCTTGCCCACACTAATGAGCTCTCCCCGAGGCTGGGCTTGTGCCTGTGGGGGTGGCACAGGGCTCCAACTGTGCTGCTGTTTTGGAAACCAGTTTGTTGACTGTGCTCAAGTCCAGCTTGCCCAAGGTGCCGTGCCAGCTTGGCTACTGTTGGCTGCGGGAGCTTGTCCCAGTGCAGCGTAGCTGGCCCCAGAGCTGTCTGGAGGACGAGGCAGGCTGGCAGCTGAGGCTGTCAGGCTGTGTAGGCTGCAGCAAGGAGAACTGTCACCTAGACCTGGACTGGGGCGAAGCACCAGCATGGTGAGGCCAGTACAGGTGAGCCACACTCACAGCCCGTTCTCCTCCCTGGGGACACAGCCACTAGTGTCCAGTCAGCTCATGCGGTGGGAATGCATCCTGCGGGCAGCGGGTCTCAGTTTTGTGATGGCCCAAAGAGCAAGGGAAAGCCAGGTGTTGGCTGCTGTCGACCATGCCTCCCACTATGTGGGAGATGTGGGAGCAGAGACATTCAGGTGCAGGGGTGTCAGGGACGTGTACCCTTCTCTTAGCCCCTCCAGCGGTGCTTGGCAGTGGTGAGCACCTTGTCCTTGTGACTGAGGTGGTGGCTGCACACCTGTAACCTGGTCAGAGCCTGTGCCTGCTCCAAGGCTGGGCTCTTCTGTGTGCCTGCCGCCCCACTGCTGCAGGGAGGCTCAGCAAAATAAAAATCTTAACAGCTACAAGATCTATTAACTTGGGCAGTTTCACCTACAGATAGACAAAAAGGCATTATTTGGAATTTTTTCAGAATCATTGCAAGAACAGAGGGAGAATGAAGAAGTACTCCCTAGGAGACAATATAGCATTGTTTTTCTAAGGATGTAGTAAATGACACAATCTGGTTTTTAACAGCTTGTAACTCCTGTACATCTTGTTTATTTCTTTTTGTTGCCTATTCATATAAATCACAACAAAGCAGAGGAATAGTGGTGGTTTTACTTTTTCTTGCCTGCTTGCACGTGACCTCGAATCCATTAATTTTGTTTGTGTAAATAAAATTTAAGGGATAAAGGAAACTGAAAAAGCATCGAGTTACTAAGGTGCCTAGCAAAAAGCAGAAGAAATCTTCTTTGCAGAAAGTGATTTTTCTGACCAAGTGTTTTTCATTTCTAGTGCTAATATGACAAAGTGTATGTTGTTTCCATAGCTGGATGCACCCTATTTCAGAACAGGTTAGAGTGTGTTCTGAAGCTGTTGTTGAAAAAAATATATTTCACTTAATTAGCCAAGTTAAAAAGTGGCATAAAATCTGTGTGAGCTTTACAAACTCTGTGCTGCGGCTCTATGCACATTCCTTTGCCAATGGCATCTGTAATTTAGCACTGAAACACACAGGATCATGACTTGGCCTGTAATTATCTTTGAGGAAGAATGTGAACTTGACAGTTCTGCACTGTTAGTTTTGGGGAAAGAGGTTACAAAGTTCTCAGTTTCCTTCAGTAGCCCCTAAAATTATTCTATTTGCAGTGCTCCAATCCTGTTTTTCTGGTACACCTGGCAATCTTTAGAATGCAGTAAATTTGCAGTCAGGGTGCTAACATGTTGGTGTGGGGTCAGAAATACTGTGTAGTGAATGTAATTCCAGTATGCCTGTTATTTAATAACTTAAGTCATTCTAGTTATCTTCATGATCCATATAATGAAACATAGAAAACCTTAGAACAAGTGTTGGACAGCTCTGGATATTTCACAGAGTTGCTGAATATTCTGAGTTGGAAGGGACCCACAAATGTGATAAGTCAAATTCTTAAGTGTACAGGGACTGAACCCACAGTCTTGGTGTTGTTAGCACCATGCTCTAACCAACTGAGCCAATCTCATATCTCAAGGTGCTGGGCAGCTATGCCAGGTCAGAATCCCAGGCCATGCTAGCAAGGTGCTTAATAGTGCTTCCAGCTCTGCAGTAGTTTTGTGCAGGGCTAGCTGATGTCTTTGTGCTGCTGCTGAGGTGTGCTGCCTCAGCAGCTGTCTGTGGGGCTGCTCAGTTTGGAGACCCTTGCTCAACCCCCAGTTAGATGCAAAGCAGCTCCTGATTTTAGAGGAGAGCCTCTCTACTACCCCTGTGTAAATAATTTCAGACCTTTTGTCTTCAGTCTGGAGGACCAAAGAGGGTTAGCTAATGGAGCACTACTGCAGAATTTGGAAGCTGATTCAAGGGATACCCTTTACCCCCTGCTTTCCCTTTCCAGCCTTCCTGGGAGATGCCCACCCTGGAGCCTTGGAGGTGGGCACTGCCATGGGGTAGCTGGAAGGTTTGCTCAGGAGCTTGCTAGTGATGAATCACAGAGGTATGGCATGGATTGATAAGGTCGTGTACTTTATGATTAGACACATCCTTCCTCTAACAGCGGTTCTTTGTCTCCATTTTGCTTTTGGTAACGTGTTTCGGCTGTTTGCATACAATGACTCTCCAAGCAGGAGCTGTTTGACTTGAGACAAAGTCACTATTATTCCAAGCAAGCTCAGGAAGCCCTCATAATTTTGTTGCACTCGGAAGGGTGAATTTATTTAAAAGACAATTAAGTTAAATCACCAGGCAAATATTTTTATTTCCTTGCAGCCTGTCTGTAAAGGACTTTTGGGTATGTAAACAAGTGTATAACATGAAAAATCTACCTGGCAGCTATATTGTTGGGCTTTTTGTGCATTTTAAGTGATGGCTGTAGGGGGCATGTCCTTTATCTGTAGCACTAGCAAAAATAAGTAATATTTTTCAGCTATTCACAGTGCAGGTGTGCAGGCTGGGGGCCATGGAAGAAGAAAACGTCCATGGTCCACAAATTATTGAAAAATACTTACTATTGTAATGCCTGCAGCCGGACCAACACACAAGTCTATCTATTTCCTCAGCTGGAGTTGATGGAGAGCCCAAAGAGCTAGGTAGGAATGGAATACTTTAGGCTTATCTGGGGAGATTTTGGACTAGACTCTCAAGGTGCACGATTTAGTCAAGCAGCTGCTTATGTTTACGGACATAAACCTTTTTGAGATACCCTGAATATGACATTTCTGGTGCTACTGTCCTTTTTCAAAGACTATCTCTGATGACTCCCCAGGCAGTATCTCCTGAGCCCTTTATGCTCCGTGGTTACAAGCCCCTGTCTGTGATGAAGCCTCACCTTTCCAGCCCCAATCTCTGCTGCAGTGCTCCCTTGGGCTCTCCTGGCTGTTCTGGCTCCCCTCCTCTGCTCTGTATTGTCACTTACTGAATAGACTTGCTCAGCAGAGTTTTCAGAAGGAAAACAAAACGAGGTAGTCATGGATGACCAATATCAGCTTTTCTTTTTAACTCAGTCGTAAAGCACTGTTGGCTCACTGTTTCTACTGTCTATAAAAAGGTTTTGTGCAAGAAGTCCCCTTTTTCCCATCGCCCTGTGTGACACCAGTGCTGAGCTGACCTTCTGCTGAAAGGCTCATTGCTCAGTTTTGTCACTGCTCTGTATGAGTTTCCCTGGCAACCAGTTTGAGCTGCACCGAACCAAAAATATCGTGCCGGGGGAAAGTCAGTTTGCAGACATGTATTTCTCTTTAATGAGTTCTCTGGATGGTCTGTGTGTTCAGCCTGCAGATGTCATTTTGGGAACCGACAGCTGGGAGATGCAGTGTGCCCCTTTTCCTTACTTCCACAGGCAGAGCGGCCTATGAGGAGGCTGCCCCTTCATGACTGTCAGCTGAGCTGGGGCTGTAGGACCCATCATGATAATTTCTCATGGTACCCTGAAAGTCTTGTCTTCTACTGAGAATGGTCTGTGCAGCAGACACAAAGTCTTTCTTGGATTCCTTGGATCTCTGCAAATTTCAGAATTTCATAGTCACAGAATGGGTAAGGTTAAAAGGGACCAACCTTACCTAGGTTATTGCTAACAACTTTGTCCACGTTTCTGTATAAATATATGCATCTTTACAGCTAGACATGCAATGAAGTCTGGTTTTGCTCCCATCCTAGTCTCTAAAGACACAGTTTGTGACACCTCTAAATAAGCATATGTATAAATCTTTGGAGGTCAAGACCCACCAATTTCCTCAGGATAGAATTCACAAACAGGAGGTGTTATTTTAAACCTTCCTTGTTTACTTTTGACTTGCAGATAATATTTTCACTACCTAATGTAGAACACTGATGTGAAGAAAAGCATTTGTAATTCCAGATGTGTTCTCAAGATGACAAAATTAGAAGAGACTAAATTGGAAAGCAGTATGTCATTTTTAGTAACAGGTTCCCTTTTCTGGATTTGTAGGGTGTGAGGATTGCGGTAAAAGCCTTATAGGAGAATGCAAACTCCACGGACCACTCATCAGGGCTAAAGATAGGGTTATTCCCAGCCGAGCCCGCCTCACCCTACCTCACTACCTCACTTTGCGAGTCTTGGAGCTGAGAGCTGGAAACCAGCAGAGTAAGTATTTTAGCTCTTTTTCCCACATTTGAGAAAAAGGAGACAAAAACACTGGCCTGTTTTCATGAGTAACTCAAGGCATAATCATTGGACGTTACCATTATGAAGACTGTTTTCAGCAGGGCACAGCTAAAGCTCACAGTCAGCTACTGTTTTTAATGACTGAGTTCTGGTAGCAGACACATAAGCTGATGGCAGGACATTAGCCAGAGCTGGTGTGACATTTAGCTGTGAACAGCCAGTTAGCTCTGTTCGGTCAATCCAAGTTTAATGAATGTTGAATTTGTATCTAATAAAAACAGCCATGCACTACTACTGTTTTTCTCTTTTCCCCAAGTATGCAAAACAGGAAAGAGTATTCAATGAAAGGTCAGAAACAAAATAAATGGTAAATGACATCCCTTATCCACCCCCTGCAAACTCAGAAGATCACAGTGGGGTAATTTACCTTTTGCAGCGTTTTCATTTCATATTATAGAAAGACTGCTGTTTCCTTGTGAAAGCAAAGCAATTTGAATGCCCAAACATGAACAAAGGAATGATGTTCTTAGTGTGCAAATTTTCCACAGCTGCCTGTATAAAATTAGTCCTGCCTAAATTGCTTCAGACAGAGAAAGACAAGATGCCTATTACTCCATTGATCTGGCAGTGGAATAACTGGAATGATGAAGAAGGCTAATACTGTATTTTTATAAATTCTCTCCACTCTTATTGGGAGAGAACAACCTCCCAAATTATTCCAAAAGGCAGAGGACTACGATAACATCAGTTTGTAGATTGAGGAGTATCAACATGTTTGTGTTGCATACTCAGTTTAACATCCAGTCATGGATTTTTGGTACTTTTTTATTCAATGTAGTTCCCATTAAAAAAAAAAAAAAAATCAGTACCTATTTACATCCTTTTTAGATTCTTCACCTTAGAATTATTTAGTGGGCTTATTTGTCTAGAAAAAGAATCCATGTGTTCTGCACAATTTTGTTTATCTCCATTTTCACAACTGTAAGCATACAAGAAATAGTTTGTGATGTCTGTACTAATATTAGACTTCTCTTTGTTTTCTTCACAGTCCTTGGTGTATTTGCAAAGAAAGTAATACAGAAGAGAACACAATTTGGCCCTTATGTTGGTCAACTGTCTACAAAACTGACCTGCTATGATGAGAGCAGACTAGTCCTGCAGGTAAAAGTCCACTGCCTTTCTGTGGAGTGTATATGTGTCTTTAGCAGCTCATACTTATTTAGGTATTTTAATCAGTCAATTTGCCATCTGATCTAGTTCATTATTTGTACTTTTGATGTGTAAGTATGATTATTATTAGGCAGTACAGCATAACCTGAAATACCCAAATGTTCCTGTATACTGTGTTTTCTAGAAGTTTGGTTTCCTGCTTTCTAGTTTTACCATTTCTAGGGTGTTAGGCCTATCAGTCTGATAGCTCTTGATAATCTTTTCTGGGAACATGGCTACTGAAGTTTCTTCCCAGGTAACACAAAAGGATTTGTGCTTTGCATCATACCACTGGGAGGTTTGAGTTTTTGCACTGAGTTAGTGAGAGCAACAGAAATATGCACTAAGGCACTGGCTTAGTAGGGAGAAACAGATAGGGAAGAACTTCTTAATGAATTTTAAATGTTATTGTTATTAATTAATAATTGCTAATTTATATATAGACTTTGATACACAGTGCACTACCTCAGTTTATTTAATCAGATTGTTATTTAGGGCTAGTACCTTCTGTTGCTGCACACATAGGTACTGACTGTTTCACCTGGACTATGACACTATTATTTGTACTTTATCCAGCAAAAATTGTTGCCTCTCAGGACTAGCCCAGCTTAGACAAATCTACATGGACATCTTTTCCCACAGGAATTCTTGGGAGTTGCAGTTAATCACAATCCTCTGGGCCCCAGTCATTGCATTTTGCTGTCAGGATCGTGGCTGAACAAAGCTCTGTGTCATACAGGGAATCCATGGTCAAGCCACAGCCTCTGTCAGGACTTTCCAACAGGTCATGGTTCTTCCAGAGTTTTGCATTTCCTATCAGGCCCTCTCAGCCCCAAATAGAGAGACAGCAGCAGCAGCTGTCCTGTGACACACTCAGTGTCTTCATTTGAGCTTTCTCCAGAAGCCTGGGACTGGAAAACACTGTGTTGTGTGGAAATACTTCTGAACTTGAGTTTGAAAGCTTTAAAGTAGTAATAGCTTCAGTAGTTGCTATAGACTTGATTTGCACATGGAAATCACAGGAATCATCTGCCAGGAAAATAACACTAGCCTTCTAATGGATTTTCACAGCATGTGGACACCAGAAAAGGTTTGTTCCTCTCTGTAACTAAATATCTTCAGTCTTTTGATTAGACACTATTAAAAATTCAGAAAATGTACTTCTCTAACAATGGATGGATGAGCTAAGCACCCAGTTCCTTCCTCTTCACCAAACCATTGTAAACCACACCCTATCCTCTATCAGTCAGCACCATTTGCTTAAAAGTATACAGTGATAAGCACAGCTCTGGCTGATGAATGGACTGTTTCTTCAGAAGAGGAGATTAGAGTCCCCGATTTCCTACATGACAGCAGTAACTGCCTTGACTTCTCCCTAGCATGAGTATGTGACCAAACTTGTCCAACAGGCAGGTGCTTTCATCGGAAACATGATGAAGTTAGATAAAATAGTTCCCAGAAGCAATGAAAATGCAACTTTTTTTTTGCAGTTACTTGCTCAGTTATGTGGTTGGTAGAACAAATATAAGCTGTGCTGGTATCAGTTGTGCAGTTTTGTCTGTCCATGTTCGAGACACTATTGCAGAAAAGTAACTGTCTTGTTTGAGGTCAGTAGTTTTTGCCTCATAGGGGCAGTCTCTTGGAGGGTAATCTAGGAAGAATGAATTAAAAGAAAAAAGAAAAAAGATCTTTCTGGCACAACTGTTCATTTGTATTTACTTTTGCATTGTTAAGAGGAAAAAGAGAAGACTGTTAAAATGCCATTATGTTGTTTGTTACCTCTCTGGGCTTATTAACACAAGCTACACAATTGTTCCATGCAAAATGTGGTAGCACTGAAGCCTGAGATTATCAAGTGCTCAGGAAGTAGATTAAGGCATAAAACTTATCTTTCTACTTGCCTGCACTTAGTTCTTATAATATTATCTTTATATAACATAAAAATGATGAACTATAAATGGGAAATACATACAAAGACCTACAGTTATTTTAGTAGTGGGGTGCTCAGCCGGTATTCATTCTTCACTTTCTTTTGCACTTTTTGGTGTTCATTAAGAGTGATCTATTTCAAAACAATCATGATTTCAAGGGGCATATGACCAAGACAAGATAGACAACTGATAGCTGTGATTGCAAATTGAATAAAACTAATGTGCCTCTATACAAAACTTGGTTTTATCATATTTTTTTCTCCCCACTTTGTTTCAGGTATTGAAAGATGGAGGGAAGTACTTTCTGGACACTCCCAATGAGGACTGTGGAAACTGGATGATGTTTGTCCGGCTGGCCCGGAACCAAGAAGAACAGACCCTTGTAGCTTATCAGCACTGTGGAGAAGTTTACTTCACAACAGTTAAGGTAGTTAAACCTACATTGCTCCACCTGTTATCCAAAAGGAAATTTGTAGACAAAGGTTCTGAAAGACTAACCATTTTACAATGACAGATTGATTATATTCTGTTAACTGGATCATTATATACATAGCACCTTTAATGTAATTTAATCTGTAGTAAAGCAAGAAGTACATGGGGTTGGTCAGGAAAAGGTAGTGTGTACTTGCTAGTAGTAGTAGTGAGGCAGTAGCTGGGTAGTGAAGAAACTGAGCTGAGGGAAGATAAAAATCATTCACTATGATAGTGTTTAAACTGAACACTGTTTAATGCCAGGTAGTTATATGGGGAGATTATTTGGCATTATTAGATTCAACAGTACTTCATTCTGGAAATAACAAATTCCTTTCTTTTATTACTCTTCTGGACACATATTGTTTTCTGAGCACATTACCCTGTGCTCAGCACCAGGGTGTTGAGTGACTCTTCATGTACAATTTTCCATGCTCTTTAAATCTGAAGACTTAACTGCAAAACTTAGAATACTGCAATATTGCCATGAAATTATCAGTTTATGTTAGAGACTCTGAACTGCATCTTTGTCTGAAGAGAGAGAACAAGGTACTCTGTGTTTATAAATGAAACTAGAACATACAGTCTTGGTTTTTATTGTTTTGGCCATTTTCTTAGGCAGAGTTGGTTTTAATCAGAAATAACTCTTTTGCACACTTGGGAAACAGAAATCTATCTGTTGAACATAATGCTTGTATCTCATTGTGAGCTACATTAAAATTAAAAAAAATATTAGTGGAAAGTAGTTACTATGAATTAAAATCCAGCATTTAAGTTTCATATCCAAGATTGGCACATATTTCTGTGGCATAGTAGTATTTACATTTTTTCCCCCATTTTTGTTTCTCCACCTGCACAGGGAGAAAAATATTTACTGTATAGTGGTGATGAGAGAATAACATTTCATACTGTTAAAGTCTTTTATAACAGTATGGAGTATAGTTGATTTGGGGATTAATATCTACATAATTATTAAGAAAAAAAAAAGAAAAATGTGAAATAGTATATGCTACTCTGAGACATATTTAGACTGTGTTTGAGATTCTCATGCAGTGTATATAATTTGAGATTTCAACTTGATTGGAAATGCATGATATGCTTGTAAAATTGACAGGATTACTAATACTGTGTTTGGGAAGCATGAACTTTTCCAAGAAGTAGTTGTTATAAACTGGTAACTTAAAATTTCCAGTATACTTTAAATTCTATTGAACCAGCTCTCTGCTGACTTCAGCACAACTCTACATACTGGCATTAATGGAGAGTTGCATCCTATACACTGACACAGAGTGTCTTAGGATGATGCATGTGTCTTGGAACCTTTGCTGTGCTGTGGGTCATAGGGCATTACTTGGGTTTTGTTTCTCCCAAGTCCCAGTATCATTCAGGGTGCTGTGGCATCCTGCAGATTTTGTCCTGGTCAATGAATGCGATGGCCTTGTGCTACACTTAGGCACACCCTGCTGGTCATGCTGTGAGGCTGGCTTAGGGCTGATTCTGAAGATTCTTTCTCAAGACATTTTTAATAAAGTGTATTAAGATGGGAATAGGATTGGGTCCTTTCCCCACTATTTTTGAAAAGAAATGGGATTTCAGTGACATGAAACTTCAGCTACTAAAGCAGACATGTAAGTGGCATCCTGACACCACCATTAGCTGACTTTCTGACCTAATGGCTGCAATCCTTAGAAGTAAGTGCTTTTAAAAGGTATAGAATTTTGAGGAAATAAAAATCATCCACGGTTGCTGCTGGTCTGATCCCAGGAGAGTTTCATGTGTGTGCTGCAGTTCTCTTATTGTCATGGTGGCACAGAGTAAAGACAACTTGTAGTGGATTTGGATACTGATATTTAATGTCAGTTTTACTGAGATTAGAGCTTTTGAATTACTTGACTGTTTCACACACTGATGCACTTGTTCTCCCCTCAAAGTCACATTGAACAGCTCTCAGCCTTCCATAAAGGAGGTGGCTGCTGGTCTAGGAATGTTGGGCAGAAGTTGTACAGTGTCACGCTGTGCTTTTTTTTTGCGGGTACCCATCTCAGCTGTCACAGGCCAAGCTCCCAGACGTCCTTAAACATTTGTCTCACAATGCATAATGAGCCTTCTAGTTAATGACTCTGCCTCATGTCCTTGATTGAGTGGAGAATTCAGGACAGACCATTTCTATTTAGGCCAGGTGTTATCAAAATGTACACCCAACCCATACTGGTTGTAGTTAGCAGGCAGGCTTGTGCCTGGCAGTTCAAAATTCAGTTTTCAGCATTAAACCCACAATTAACACCTCACCTGTCTGCATTCACAATCTACATTGTCTTTTCCTTACCATGCTTATCCCACACTAATATTACAAAGTGAGGGGATTTTATGATGTCTCATTTTCTGGAATAAGACTCATCTACTCTCTTTCCGGGCTGGTTTGTTTGGTTGTGTTTTGTTTTTTTGTTTTTGGGGTTTTTTGGGGGTTTTTTTTGTTTGTTTTTGGGGGTTTTTTTGGGGTGGTTTTTTTTTTTTTTTGGTGACTCGAGTTTATCTTTGTAAAACTGAAACTACAAGTACAGTGCAGTTTGGCTCTACCCCTGTTGCAACAATGTTGATTTTTATTATAGATGAAGAAAATTGTGTACAGGGTCAGGGAGTCATGTAAATTATGACCCCAAAGTTTAGTTTTCTCTTTTGCATTTAAAGAACTAATAGATCTTTAGCCAGTGAGTGTAATCACACCTCTCTTTTTCTATTTGCTGTATTATTGACTGAAAGTATGTGTCCCAAGAGATCATAGTCCAGTCCAATGAGAGATTTGGGCAAGCATGGGAGACTGCAGATTATGGGCTCCCTTAATCCTGTGGGGACAGGCTTCAGTGGAAAGAGGGCAGAGTTGCAATAAAGCACACTCACAGCAAGCCTGATGCATTAGAACCAGCCCATGGAAGGTGTCAATTCGCCTTGCAGTCCACATATTGATCAGCTCTGCACCCATGTTCAGTGTGACATATCCAGGAGGCATCCAGGATCTTGTGCATTCACAATGCATTTTTCCTTTGCCTGTACCCTGTAGTTAAGTGTTGGGCCTCCAGACATCAAGGAATGGGTGTGGGATATTGCTTGGAAACACTGCTGGATGTCTGAACATCACAGACAAATATATCTCACTGAGCAAAGGTTATGAGGACTGAGGCATCCCTCCTGCTACTGCCCCCCCCCCCATCCCAAATCTCGGTGCATACACAATTCCACTTTTAGAAACAGAAAGTGTCAAGCCCTAGTGGGCCGTAATGCTCAAAAAGTTCTTGAATCTTGAAATTAGGTTACCAATAATTTAAACATGGTCAAAAAATGCAGTTTGGGTAAGGACAAAATATTGCACACCCCTACCCCTCCTATCTTTCTTACTGTTTGGTTTAGGAAAATTGACACAAGTAAACATGTGCTGTTTTTTTCCATTCACAGCCAATTGAACCCCACACAGAATTGAAAGTATGGTACGCTGCCGATTATGCCAAATTTATGGAAGCTTCTGCAGTCTTCATTAAAGAAGAATCAGATGTCTCTCCTTTGCCTTCAGTAGCAGTAAGTACCCTTACTCTGCATTGAAGCCATCACTAGACATAGTAAATTATGGGTTTTTTACATGTTTTCTCTGTTTATATAACTCTAGTAATGCAAATGTAGGCCACAGGGTACTTTTAGCAATTTTAGCCAAGCAGCTACTCACAGAAAGGCTGTTCTTCCTGTCCTGTGTTTGTAATGCAATGGAGCCATCAGATATAGACAGAAGTAAGTGGCACTACTTGATGTGTTGGAAAGACTTAAGATGGGCACTAATTTTTGGATAACCAAGTTGTCCAGCCTCTGACTTTTTTCACCATTTCCCCTTCTTTTGCTCTGACTGGTTGGCTGGAGTACCCACTAATTATTTCAGTCTTTCCTGTTCAGTAACCCTTCTCTTTTAATTCAAATACCTTCCCCTCTGTATCATAGCAGAAATCCTTAAACTGATAGGAAAAGTTTGTTAAGTGTTTAAAACATGGCTGTGAAAATCAATACTTAATCTAGAAAGAATAGATTGGAACAAATGAACCAGGAATACAAATGAACAAGGAATTCGTGTTCCAAGAAGGCTCGTGCGGCCTTCAGAATATTCCCCAGAAGGAAGGTGAGGGAGAGCCACAGTATCAGACACCAGTCTTAGCAGAGAAGAGGGCTCAGTTTGGAAATAAAGATGGATTGGATACAGCCTCACCATGAGCAAGCTAGCCCAAGAGCAAGGGAAAAGGAGGACAGTTTATCAGAAGCGTACATAAAAGGTAGATGAAGTTGAGGAAGTACATGGTCATGCATTAATTGGAAGTACATTTCATCAGTGATTGGAGACTTTTGGCAATTGTTTTTCATCAGATTTTTTATAATATTAGTATTTAAAGTGAATTCAACTGAATCCAGTAGAGCTCTTATTTCCACAGAAGTAATACTTCAAAATAATACACTGTCTAAAAAAAAAAAAATTGTTTTAAGTCAGGATAGGCTTGAGATCCCTAAACCTAAGGTGTTTCTTATCCAGTTAATGGAAGTCTAATGCCAAATGTCAAGCTAAGTGAGGAAGTCTCTCCTGGAGCCATTAACCATTGTTGTGTGGTAAAGCACAGAGTCATCCCAAGACACAAAGAAATCTGTATGACTAAACTATGTTTTTGTACAGAAATCCATCCCGTTTTTGTGTGGTTGGACTAGCAGATAAAGTATGTCAGTCCAAGGATAAAGTACAATTTACAACTGTTTATTTCATAAATGCAACAAATGTAGAGACTTTGAAATTCAGTAAGCACAGATAAACAAAGGTGTAGGACTCAGAACTGTTACAGTAAATGCTAAACAAAAACATATAAACCAGTATTTAGCCAACCTTACTTTTCCTTTGAGTTTTTACTCCTAGAGAGACTCTATTGCCAGTTGAACAACTAGGTGGTAGCACATGGAAGTAAATATAAGCAGAGACAATGATGAGTCTTAGAAAAGCAGACAAGATGCGTGAGAAGAATATGACCCTTCCTTAGAATGTTTAGTAAGAAAGACCTGTCTCTGTTCTCATTGCAGAAAGAGCCCGTAGACCCTTGGATATGTTCCAGCTGTGGAAGCACTTTTGCAACTTTTGCTCTGCTGGAATCTCACCAGTGCATCCATAAAGAGCGAGTGCTTCCTACAAGGTTCAGACCACCAAATAAATTGGGACCTGTAAAAGCAAAAAACAAACTCAAAGGGAAACTGAGAGGAGCGTCATTAGGCAAAAGTATTACTCAATGCTTTGGGACCATTTCCTGTTCCTCTGCTGCAAAGTTCAGCTGTGCCAGCTCAGGAAGCACTTGTGGTGCTCTCGTAAGGTTTATACCTAAATGGAGAAATGGTCGGTCTTCACTGCTGAAGGGAAAAGAAGTGAAGCAGCCAGATAGTTACCCCTGCCGACTCTGTGGGAAGATATTTGATTCCATTGACAAGCTCACAGTCCACACTTATGCGCACAAAGGGGAGCGTCCCTACAAGTGTTCACAGCACGGATGCACAAAAGCCTTCATTTCCAAATATAAACTGCTCAGGTACACCTCTGAAGGCATTCCTTTTCTGCTGGGGGGTGGTGGGGGGAGGGGAAGGCATATTTTTCCTTTGGGATGTTCTAGTGACAGTTAATCCCTGAGGTCCAGTTTTTATTATTACTGTTTCTGATATACCTTTAATTATGGTGGCTACTCAAAAAGATGATGTTGAGCAGTTTTAAGCTACTCTATGCTTTATGATCAACAACTTCCTCCCTCCCCACAAAATTTAGGCTTTTACAAATAACCTGAGAATTTGCGAGAATGCCTTCCTTCGAGAATTCCAGTGTTTTCAAGTTTTGAGGGTGCAAGAGTTTATGTACTAGAATAAATGTGAACATAAATAACTTGTTTTGTTTCTGTGTTTTGTTTTTTTTTGTTTTTTTTTTTTTCTCTTAGGCACTCGGCCACTCATTCTCCACAGAAATCTCACCAGTGTGGCTACTGTGAAAAGACCTTTCACAGGAAAGACCATCTAAAGAATCACCTTCAGACTCATGACCCCAACAAGATGGCCTTCAAGTGTGAAGAGTGTGGCAAGAAGTACAACACCAAACTAGGCTATAAGAGACACTTGGCTCTTCATGCTGCCACCAGCGGGGACCTCACCTGTAGGGTGTGTGCCCAAGAGTTTGGTGGTACTGAGGTTCTGTTGGAACACCTCAAAAGTCATGCAGGGAAGCCGACTGGCAACATGAAGGAAAAGAAGCATAAGTGTGACCACTGTGAGCGTCACTTCTATACCCGTAAAGATGTGCGACGTCACATGGTGGTTCACACAGGCTGCAAAGACTTCCTGTGCCAGTTCTGTGCCCAAAGGTTTGGGCGGAAGGACCACTTGACACGCCATACTAGGAAGACTCATCCACAGGAACTGCTGAAGAGCAGGTTGCAGAATGGTGACTCAGTGGGTCTCCTTGACCAGCTCTTTTCATACAGACTGAAGGAAGATGCCAACATGCTGTCCCCTCTTCCTGAAAGGGTCCCTGTGCCAAATGGGATTGTGAATAGTTCAGAAACAGAGGAATACAACTGTTCACATCTTCATTCCCAGTCAAGCTTACAAACTGCTCTTCCTCTTGAGTCTTCTCCTCCCTTGCAAAGGATGGACTGTGCAGACAGCCTCCCGACTGTCCCTCCCACACCATGTTCAGCAGCTGTCCCTATCAACCTGAACCTTCATCAGCCTAACAAATATGACCTCAGTTCTACCTCATTTGCCACAGGATCCCTCAAGAATCTACCAATAAAAGTGGATGTTAAAGGTTACAATGTGCATCTTCTTGAGGACCTGCCATTACCAGAACCTCAGTCTCTCCACAAAATCAGTATGGAAGAAGCTTCCTCAGGGCCTGTAGGGGATACTAACAAGTACCCACTGCACAAAGAGACAGAGGCAGCAGCTGAAACTGCAAGCCTGCCTTTCATGGATCTCACTCATGTGATGGGTTTCTGGCAGCTCCCACCAGGTGACAACCAGAACACTATTGGGGACATCACAATGGCGTTTGGCTCAGAGGAACCATCACACAGGCTGAATGGCCTTGGCCAACAGCAAGGTTTTCAGCTAGCAACTGGTGGGATGGCCATAAACCAGCTGCATCATCTTCCTCGCTCCTTTCCATCCACTACAAATTCTGTAACATTGCCTCACTTTCACCATGCCTTCAAGTAACCACCATCCTGTGTGGGTTTTTTCCCTTTTTTTTTTTTTTTTTTTTAAGACTGTGCTTCTTAGTAAAATCTGTTAGGACTGGGGTGTTTTGTTTTGTTTTGAAGAAAAACTGCCCCAGATGTTTTCAAAGCAGGTTATGAACATGGTAGTTAAATTCAGGATGTTAATAAACAAGAAGTTATATTTTTCATACGATTAGTTTTTTAGCATATGACAGCAGTAGAACTAACATATTTCCCTCAGCTCCCTCTATATTTTTGTTTCTTTTCATGCAAACAATTGAATAACTATCTTCAGTGACAGCAAAGTGTGGTAACAGGCACAATAAAACTATGGCTGCTGCAATAGGAAAAATATGGTTAGGGTGAATGGGAAGAGAGGGGAAATCACAAAGAAATCAATTTAGTGAGCCATAAATCACAGCAAATTTGTACACATGGCAAATGTAACAAATGATTTATCAACATCAGATAGATTTCTGTTAAACATTTAATTAATGAAGTTTATTAATCCTTAATTTAAATCAGAATCATTCCAAGAGTAAACCTTATGTCCTTCTTTCACTTTCTTCAATGAAGATCATCACTGTTATGATTATGTTAAACTAGATTTTGCTTTCTGGCAGGCAGTTCAGCTGTGTGTCTTTTTCCTAGAGCTGGAAATAACTACCACTTCTTAACGACTGTGTAAGAACTGCTGTCTTGGATACATGCAGTTTTCAGAATGGGAAGTGAATTGTCTCAAGTTAGAACAAAACATTAATTTTCATTTGGAGCTGGATCTGTCAAGACATCAGACACTTCTCTCTCTTTCTAGTTAAGCACTTGAGCATTTGCTTAAATTTAAGCTTATGTTATCCTGTTGGGTCAACAGCTTGATTAATTCAACACTTAATAAAAAATAATGCATCCTACCTAAGGAGCCTTTATTCACCTTTTGTTGATAAAAATGGCCATTGTTTAGTCTGGGAAACGATTAATAATTGTAACCATCTGAAAATGGTCTTTCGCAGAAATCCAACCCTGGCCCAGGGCAGCCTGCACCCAAGCTGGGCCCCTGTGGAGCCAGGGGCAGGTCCATGCACAGGGGGGCTGTGGGTGGTGAGCTAACACTGGGCCCTGTCCAAAACCAGGTTCTGAACCTGCCTTACAAGTGTCAACTGAAATTAGCGGGTCTGATAATGGTTGAGGCCGTTTTACTCATGGGAGTTCTGCTCAAGAACATTGGAAGTGCTGCAGCTGGACTTCAGCCTTTGTTTCTTGCAGACTAGAACCATGGGGACTTTTGTTTGTTTCCTGGGGTAAATTCTCCATGAACAGTTCCTGTGGACAGTGTGTTGGTGTGACGGTCCTATCACCTGATGCATGAACAAGCAGAAATTGTAAAGATCACATTTTCCAGTAGATGACATTACTAAACAAAGTAACAAACTCTTCACAATTTAGTTTGTTGCCTAACTCATACTTACAAATAACAATCAAGGTTTTGGTGGATGGCTCAGTTACTAATGGATTTTGTTTCATCTAAAACAGACACAAAATTTCTGAATCTGAGTAAATTCTCAAACCCCAAGAGCTACTCTTCCGTTAAATCCAAAAAGAGTTCACAGTACTCAATGGCCATAAGTAATATAATATGGAACAAGCATATTCTCCTCTCCCTCATTAATCACAGAAATATTTCTGGAGAGCTTCAAATACAAAATAATTTTAAAATTATTGCTGTTTTGCTGTTACTGAGCTACATTTCGTTGTAGTTGTACAATGTAATTAAATATTCTTACAAATTGATTGCTACTTGGATTAAGGATTGTCTTATTGTAACTCCTGAAATAATATGTTCTGTAGATGCAGTGCTGAGGAGTATTTTTTGTTATGAAAATTTTTGGCATAAGACAAACCAAAAGGAGTTTTAAAGTCATTCCTGTAATGGCAACAGGAGAAGGCGAACAGGTACTGCACAGTCATGTCTAGTGAGTAGTTATCTAAATTATGAGTTACAGAGTGGGAAAAGGTTGCAAACAGTGTTATATGCACATTCTCCAGCTAGGCTTGTATTTTCATCTGGACTTGGAAAGGTGTGTGGGTGTGTGTGTGTGTGTGTGTGTGTATTCACTTAACTGTATTTTTTTCCTTGTTTGCATAAATTGTGTTCACTTGGCTTCAAGCAGGCTTATGTACTTGTAGAAAACCCCAAAAACTAAACTACAACAAAAAAGTCTTTGGTACAAAAAAATTTGTAGCACTGCCTGATCATACCCATTTTGTCATTTTGGTTTGTGCTTTTAGAAGAGGTGTCAGTAATTACTGAAATACTTGTCCTTGAATGTGATGTTAACAAGAAAACATTATGCAGACACTGAGCACATTCTTCCAGCTGCTCTTTCAGCCCTGGAGCAAGGTACATGAGTTCTGGACTGCCAAGAGAGGTGCTGCTGCTTGATCTCAGCTTCTACCAAAATATGGAAATATGGTAAGCATTTTTCACCAATGCATATGTAACTACAGATTAAAGACTGTCTCATTAAAATAAAAAGAAAGTAACCACTTTGGAAGCATTTCAAAATACTTCAAAAGCACACAGCGATGGTGTCTGCAAGTAGAGCACAGAAGCAAACCTTAAATGTGCAATGCTGGTTAAACCCATCAGCCCATTCGATTTTCTTTTTCCATATTCTTGACATCATAAATGTAGGAGAAGCTGATGATGTCCCATGACAAAGAAAGGCAAGTTATTTTTAAAAGTTATGTTGTCAAAAAAAAATGTTTTGTTTAAAATTCTCGTAACTCAAGAGACGTGAGATACCCCCAAGTCATCTAATACCGTAAGTGGGACTGGACTTTCTGAGTGTGTTTTTAGGGAGACCTCTGTGAACATTTCTCAGAGGCCATCAGCAGCTGAGGCTCAAGCTGCAGGACACCTCTCTGGTGGCACTGCCTTTGGCTCACGCAGGGCTGTGACAGCACCAGTGTGGGGAGAGGCAGCCCCACATCCACTGTGGGTACGGTGGAGGAAGGCAGCAGCCCAAGCACTGACCACTCCTCCCTCTCTGGCATAGCCCATTCCTCCTCCAAATGGGAGAAGTGGATGTAAGGGCAGAGAGCTGCCATGGAGAAGGTGGGATAGGCCATGGCACAGGAGGTAAGAGATTTGGGTATCTTAGGATATTTTACCTCACATTCAAATAGGGATAAAAACACTCTTTTATCTGAACTCTGCTTGAAAACCTGTAGAAGCAGAGCAGTATGTGGTAAATAAACGCAATTACTATAATCAAATCGTACTGTAAAAGAACAAAATTTAGTAAACATTTGGCCTCATAAAAAAAGTATTCTTTTTATGAAAGAAGGAAAAAAGACCCGAACCTACTGAAATAATGTCACGAAGCTAAAATTACACTACATAGAAGAAAAGACTGCATCCTCTATGTAAACACAAGTAGACCTATTGCTAAATTCTCCTTCTCTATCAGAAGCCAAGCTAATTTCTTTTTCCTTCAGTTTTATTTATCAACTTCCCCTGTCGGAACTTTCCATTTTCTTAGTCAATGGGTTGCTGTTAGTTTCAGAGGGTGTTTCATAGCCAGTGTGAACCGGGGTGATACATTCCATATATTAATGATCGGTTCATTTCTAGTGGAATGTTTAAAATGCTTTTCCTCAATACACTATTCCTGCCCTTATGTGTATATATATTTTTTGTAAGATACTGGAAACTAAGGAAATCCTACACTTCTATACACAGACAGAAAACAGTGGGGACACACACACAACAACAAACAGTAAAACTTGCTCTAAATTTGAGCGTTCAATTATTTGGTTGTTAAAGAAAGCAGCTGTGGTAACATTGCACAGTATAGTTTGGAATGGGTTTGGGGTTTTTTCCCTCTTCCTCCTGGACTGAAAGAAAGGATAAGCAGCACTGCTTTAATATACTGGGGCTACTGTCATGCCTGCTTTTTCTAGTTCTAGGAGTTACAGTTGCTTCAGTGTCATCCTTTCTGTATCCATCTAATCATTATTAGCTAGACTCTAACTAGTTTAATTAAACTGTTTAAAATACGGTATTTATTATTGCTGTGTCCAACTACTTTTCATCTTCATTTATTGTTGAGCATTTAATAGGTAAGAAAATTCCTTATGGATTTTAATTGAAAGCCTTACTGAAAATTTTTGGGCTAAAACGCCCCTACTTGTCGTGTCACTGAAAGTTTATGGAAGGTGATCCAAGGCTGAGAGTGGATCAAGTGACCAAAAAAAATAAGAAGGGCTATACCTCTACATTTCTGTTTTGTTGATCAATTTTTAAAAGCAATTAATGTGTTTAATGCAAGAATGAGATTTGGTCTTAATCTGAACTCAAAGTGCTTTGAAGAGATGCACAGCATACATGGCCATTTGTCATATATCAATGACTATCATTTATTGTTTACTGGAAGATTCTGTTAAATATTCACATGAAGTTCCACAATGTTCACTTTTCTTGTTCAATATATCAAAGCATTAGGGGAAAGAAAAAGAAAATCACATGGTACTGGATCTTCCTACATTTTGTTAAAACCGTTTAATGAACTGTTGGTAATGTCCGCCCCTCTAGGCAATCATTTAATTAAATCTTGGCAACGGATACAAATAATTTCACAACTTTAAACAGGATAGCATAATAAGATATGTAGCCTAGAGAGAAAAAAACCCCAACCAAACCTGAGCCAATTAATTGCACTTTGCTTATTTTATTGGTAGCTGTAGCATTTCAGGGTGAAGTGGTGCTGAAAAAATTGGGTTGCTTAAGATCTTCCATAATGTGTCAGCAGAAAGCCTTAACACATCCTTGCCGGCCAGTCACTCTTATCTTCTGTTGTCTGCTTGTGGTCTAAAAGCAGCAACAAGCCATGCACTTGTTATTTCTTATTATAAAAAAAGCTTTTATATATTATTTTATTTTCTCCAAGAAGATTAAACCTGTATTCATGGGAAGGTGATGGAGCAGCTCATCCTGGAAACCAATTCCAGGCACGTTAAGGATGAGACCATTTGTATCCTCAAACCCAGTTTCTCACATCTCCTTTCTCAGCTTAAAAATGGTTATGGGTAGCACTGAAACTGATTTCTCACCTGCCCAAAGTGCTCTCTAAAGCACTTGGCAAAGCTCAAGTTTTGCAGAATGCAGCAGCAGTTGCCAACACCCAGCACCTGCAAGCTCACCTAGACCAGTCTTTTCCACAGTTCCACTGTCCTCTATTTCAGATGTGAGTGTGGATGAATGTCCCAGGGACCTGCTGGGGGCAGTGGCTGTCCCAAGCCTCTGCAAACTGGCTGCAACTTCAACCCCAGTGATACCTGGACTAGGCAGTATCCCTAGGGAAAGGAGGTGTCAAGCCCCAGATTTCAGAATTCAGTGGCTAAACCTTGAGAATGGTGATGGTATTAATAAATCCTTGTTGGTGGTCTCCAAGACCCTGTGTGATAACCACAGGAGTTACTATGCTGTTAACATAGTCCCAGGTAACACAGATGACACCACTGGGTACTGACAGCAGTTTTCCTGTAGCTGGCAAAGTCAAGGAGGTGGGTAGAGCTGGTAATGGCACTGTGGGCTGGACTCTCCCGTGCCCATTGCAGTCTTCCCTGCAGCCAAGGAATCCAGCCACTGACCAGCAGCAACCAAGGGCAGTAAAACTGCACACAGAGGAACCCTGCAACAACTTTGACTGTAAGTCTCTGCAACTGACTGTTTTGTGCATGTTCCTTTTCATCCCGTGCTCCAAGGACTCTCACAAGCATCTCTCCCAGGCTCAAAATACTTTGCCAGCTACAGGGAATCATTCTTGGCCATATTTCCTGCTAAGGACTCATGTTCTGCAGTTGTATACGTTTCAGAGGGGTGCAAGATGCTGACCATCTGACCCTCTTG